TGTGCGGCGTACAGATCAGGTGAGGAGCGTCTTTCAGAGGACCCTGCGCAAAACTACACCACACACACACACACACACACACACACACACACACACAACTGAGCACTGATATCATACTGTAAAAATCATCAAAGAAATCAGTGCATCAGTAATATTACAGGAACATTCTGAGGACTGCATTGGTCTTTCTGTCCATTACCACTAAAAATATTCTCTCATGTGATCAGTTTTACAGTGGAATAATTAAGATCTTCTGCTCATCAAGGCCGCAACACACACACACACACGCAGACACACACACACACACACACACACACACACACACACACTCACACACACACTCACACACACGAGGCAGCATCACTGCGACGGCCAGATTCACTCTTTACAATCAGTTCATTCTGGTTTGTCAGCAAGATTCTGCTGGAAGATTATGTACACTGGAGGTCAAAAGTTTGGAATAATTAAACGGTTAGTTCACCCAAAAATACTCACTTTTAGTTTAGTTTAGTTTTAGTAATTACTCACCCTCATGTCGTTCCAAACCCGTAAGACCTTCGTTCATCTTCAGAACACAAATTAAGATATTTTTTGATGGAATCTGAGAGCTCTCTAACCCTCCATAGACAGCAACGATATTACGACATTACGACATGAGGGTGAGTAATTAATGAAAGGAATTTTCATTTTTGGGTGAACTATCCTAAGATTTGTAATGTTTTAAAGTCTCTTCTGCTCACCAAGGCTGAAGAGCAGCAAATCAGCATATTAGAATGATTTCTGAAGATCATGTGACACTGAAGACTGGAGTAATGATGCTGAAAATTCAGCTTTGATCACAGAAATACATTACAGTTTAACAGATATTCACTTAGAAAACAGCTATTTTACATTGTAATAATATTGCACAATATTACTGTATTTTTGATCAAATAAATGCAGCGTGTGCAGCTGTGTGTGGTGATAAAGACCTGTTTGATGGTGAAGTCGTTGATGAGGTGATGGTTGTGTTCGTTCAGGTTGCAGTGCAGCGAGACGCAGTCGCTCTGATAAAGCAGGTCCTGCAGTGTGTAAACACGCTGAACGCCCAGCGAGCGCTCCAGACCGCACACACACACACACACACACACTCACACACACACACACATATATATAGGATGATAAATGGATGATAAATGACACACACCTGAACCAAATGACATAATCAGACAGACGGGAAAACTAGGTCACGGGAACATGAGGGAGAAAACACAACAAAACGTCCTGGGGTGTGACAATATATATCTCAATATTTACATGGTTTATTCAATAACTATATCAAAATTATATATAATAATTAATAACTTTATATAAAT